AGAGAGAGAGAGAGAGAGAGAGAGAGAGAGAGAGAGAGAGATCTGTAGAACACCTCCTTATTTCAAGTACAGCCTTATTGCTGTCAATGCTGTGTTTCTTCATGAGTAACCTGTAGGCTTCCTTCTAACTACCATACCCAGGCATGCCACAAGCTCCAGGGTGGTGTCTTTCACTATTATTAGAGTTGGTGGTGGATGGTCACTGAACAGGGTAAGTGATCCTAACCAGGGAGGGCCTCAGGCATAACAGGCAAGTACCATGTCACTGAGTCACGCCCCAGTCCCACTAAGGATTTTAAATCTACTGTGATTTCTTCTTTAACCAATAGGTTATTTATAAGTATGGTTTCATATTTCCTAATATATACATTTATACAAACCTAGTTGCATGCCTGTGTCCAATACCAGACTAAACATCCAAAATTTCACCCACAGCATGCAAAGAATGTTGTCTGAGTTAAACCCAAAAAAAAACCACTACTGTCTCTTCACCATATTTAACCATTATAAATATAACCTTTTAAAGGCTATTTAAGTAGAAATGACCTCGTGTTCCATGATCGGCTCTGTCAACACGCCAGGGATACACCACTCTCTTACTTGAACAAATACTTTGCCCAGACGATGCAGTGAATTGGTTCAGAAGGTGTGTTCCGGATCGTGCAGCCAGGAAATGTCCTCTGCGTTGGCTTAGGATGACATTCGTAACACTCAGTCACACCCTACAAGGTCAGGGCACAGGACAGCAGTTACCCCACGATGGGTATAGGTAGTGCAACTGAAGACACGTCAGCCCCCCATTTACATTCCAACCCGGATTTATGTTATCAAGAAAAATGTAAACAATTAGCAATTGCAAAATCCTTAAGGTACACATAAAGAAGCCAGCCAGAGTCACAATACAATGGCTAAATGGAGTGACCACAGTCACAGCTGAGGTAGAACCAGTACACCCAACTCCCACAAGAGAGAGGCAAATCCACGAAAAAAGCATTGCAGCACAACACCAAGGCAGAGAATTACTTCTGATTTCACCAAATTACAAAAAACTATAGGGAGCCAGGGAGGGTAATGACGGCACACGCCTCTAATCCCAGCACTGGGGAGGCAGAGGAAGGCGGATCTCTGTGAGTTCCCCAGTCTACAGTGTGAGTTCCAGAACATCCAGGGCTACACAGAGAAACCCTGTCTCAAAAAACCAAAAGATCCCAGCACTCAGCCCGAGGCCAGCCAGGTCTACAGAGCAAGTTCCAGGACAGTCAGGGTTATACAGAGAAACCCTGTCTTTCCAGAAAGAAAAAGGGGAGAGGCCAAGATACCCCCAATGTGGGACCATCAGACGACTCCCTCTTTAGCTCAGCCTCAACCTCAGCCTTCACACAGGAGCAGAAGAAACAACCCAACAGTAATGGTTAAAGAATTAAACCCCACAGGAGCTGTTCTAAGTTGAAATGGCAGATTCAATATCTCCTCCATTAGGCTGCTATGCCCTCAACTTCCAACAAATGTCTGAATGAAGTCACTGACAGCTGCTGCCTTGATGCAGCAGACACTAGAAACCTTCACTACATTCTATGTGCACTGACAAGCAACCTCTGGAAAATGCACAGAATAAGCTTCCAAGACTAACAGTTAAAACAAAAGAGTACACTTGGTAACATAGATGCCCAGATAAAAAAACACCAGACAAATCTAATCATTTTAAGTATTTTTTAAAAAGTACTTTCTAACCTTTGAAGGGATTCTTCAAATGTAGCTTTTAATGTTACTTCCTGAAGAAGCTCAACACAGATCTGAAGAACACACTAATCAGTCCTGCCATTTTGTAAAACTAGGCTAATGCACACAGCCCAACTAGCTTCAGAAAACTGCTTAAAATATTTCACAACACAACCAACCAGTTTCCCTTCTCTTCAGATCTGTGTGTCGGGAAAAATGGACAGTAGTTAGGACTGGTTATTATCTCATTTCCACTACTGAACTAGACTCCCAAACCCAAAAGTTGCCCATTGATTTCTGACATTTATTTAGTTCCAGCATTATAGGGCACCATAGCACACGTGCGGAAGTGGAAATCAGAGGACAGCTTGTGCGAGTTTTCTCCTTCTAACACGTGGGCCCAATGAGCATCTCAGTGGCCCCAGAGTAACTTTTGATTTGTTTTGAGACAAGATCTCACCGTGTAGCCCTGGCTGGCCTTGAAATCAAATAGATCCTCCTGTCTCTTCTGCTTGCTGGGATTAAAGAGGGTGTGAGCCACCTTGCCTGGCCCATTTTAACTTTTGGAAGTACTACCTCCTATCATCTAACAGGATCCAAAGTCCCATGACTACTAAGAATTTTAAGTTTGTTACGTCAGTCTAAGGACTTTTGTTTGTTGGTTTTTGGTTTTTCAAGACAGGGTTTCTCTGTTTAGCTCTGGGTAGACCAGGCTGGTTTTGAACTCAGAGCTCTGTCTGCCTCCGCCTCCTGAGTGCTGGGATTAAAAGCATGTGCCACCAAGCCCAGCTAGGGCTGAGGGTTTTAACAGGTAAGTGAAATCAAACAAAGTGGCAGAGGCAAAGCTCTTCCTCAGGCTCTATGTGAGAGTGGGAGGTTTTCTGCGAACCCAGGGAATCAAGCATCACCCTGTCTTATATGGTCTCAAGTCGCTATACCTGGGATGCAGACCTGATTATACTCTACACACGCAAAGGTTCTTTACCTTCTTGATAGTGGTCACTTGTCCAAGATAACCAGCAGTTCCACTTTCAATGAGAGGCACGTCAGCTGCCAGACACATTCTATTTACATGGTTTCGGGCAGCTGAAAGAAAAACACTAGTTATAGCAAGAGTTTCTGATGACACCAAGTTCACCAAGTGAACAATTTCTTGCTTTCACTAAAGCACACAATGATTATGGTGAGGATAACACAACCACTTTGTCTGCAGCACAGGGCTACATCCTTGGCCAATGACATCAGGACACTCAGCAAATCAAAAAACTATGGAATTTGCATTGCAAATGTATGCATTCCAGAAAGACTCTTGGAAAGATTCCCAAGTGCCGGAGCTGCAGGTGTGGCCTGTCTGAGCTGCCAAGAGGCTCTAGGTCTGACTCAACGAAGTCCTGATGCCTCGGCATTTAAGAGCACTAGTTGTTCCTCAGCTAGCCCAGGACTCAATTCCCAGCACCTACAAGGTGGCTCACAACTGTCTGTAGCTCTAGTCCCAGGGTCTCCAGGCTCTTTGAGCACCAGGCCAGCATGTACATACAGACATACATGCAAAAAAGAAACAAAAAACAAAAAAAACCACCCGTTCACATAACGAAGAAACAAAAACATTAAGACAACACAGTGAGAGCTGGGCACACCGTTTCCTCCATCCCTCAACATCACTGCTCTATTAATTGTAATCCATGGCGGCGAGTGGAGGAACTGGGAAGTTTCAGGTCAGGAGACACAGACGGCACAGGTTAGGAGTCATTCAGGCTTTCAATGTCTTTCCCTGTTAGTAATTACTACACATACTTTGCAGCACTATATTTTTTTTCCTGAGACAGGGTCTCACTACATAGCCCCCCACTGGTCTGCAGCTTATAAACCAGGCTGGTCTTGAACTCACAAAGAGCCACCTGCCTCTGCCTCCCAAGAGCTGGGATTAAAGACATGGCTGACCTTTGCCTGGCTTTCCAGAAACAAATTTGTTACTCCTACAAGGACATGGTTTAGGATCCCGTGGTCCAGGTATAGCTGGCATAATTCTAGAACCATAGCCTGAATTGGGCCTGATGTACAGCCTGCATTCCAACCCTTGGGAGGCAGAACCAGGGTGGATCAGAAGAGTTCAAGATTATCCCTCAATTTGAAGGCCCCATCTCAACAGCAGAGCAGAACAAGGAGCACCTCACGGCCTCACTCACCCTAAGGCATTTCCGATCACCTGATGCTCTGGCCCATTCATTTGTGTTGTAAAGGGCCTGGGTGACACACCTCGGATTCCCAGTTCCGATGTCTATGCACAAATCAAGACGCACAGCAACTGCCTGTCACCAACCGCAGGCAGTCATGCTCTGCAGAATCTACAAATCCCTTCTATCTATACCTTCTGGTAGAATAACATAGTGTTAGGACAGCTAACTGTGCCCGAGGGGGTGTCATCAGTCCCAGAGAAAACAGCCATCAATGGACAGTGCTGACTCCTGAAATGCTAGCATTCCAGAAACTGAGGCAGGAGGACTGTCACTAGCTGAGGTCACCTGGGGGAAGAGTAACAGACTAGCTTGGGCAACAGACTGTCATCCCAAGCCCCACCTATTCTCATTTCCTTCTGGCTCTCTTAAGTTCTAATGCACACCTGAACACTAAATCTCTAGCCAGCTTTGACACGAGGCCGAGGAAATATCGAGACATGAGACATTAACAACACCTTACCTCTGTTATCTAACGCGTTCATAACCAATATAAACTGTCGAAAAAATTCCACGTTATAGTCTGGGCTGGAAAGCAAAACAAAAAGGTCACCAAAACTGGCCTCAAGTATGGTTTCTCAGTATAACAGAGTCCTGTGAAGTATAAATAACTAAAAATAACTGTTGGTGGGAAGTGTATGCAACAGACACAGGAAGGCTGGAATTTTCCTAACATGAGCACATTTTAAAGGAACTATTCTCAAATTTCTCCTTCTGACCAGCAGTCTATGGCACCAAGACAAACTCTTAAACTGGCAGAAAGCTGGCAAAACCTCACTAGTGCCCTGCCCCCCCCCCCTTCTCAGGGTAGCAAGTGCCTGGGAACATACAAGGAGCACATTCCCAAGATCTGCCAGGCCTGTGGTTTCACCTCCCATGGTCACGATCAGACTGGGTTCAGGCCCCTGGGGGCTCTGCTTTTAGCAGCACTGGGAAAGCAACAAGGGGTAAGCAGCAATAGGCAGGTCTACAGAGCAAACATCCAGAGAATTATATATAGCCCCAGAGACAAGTGCCTTGAGAAAGTGTACGGCTCTCTCTAACTCTAGTGCTTCACACAGGGACCACTTCCACCTCCACCCACGCTCACGTGTGAGCGTGTGCTCTCACACTCACGGACCTTTGCTCTACCGCCCCCATAAGGAGACTTATCCATCATTACTGAGGTAAGTGCAGTCATTATACACAGCATCAGAGAGTCCTCAGGCATCAAAGGACAGTCGTTCCTGGGTTTCTGAGCAACGTTCCTCACTGACATTAAAACATCTCTTATCTAAATAATTCAAATGTAGGAGAACTGGCAAAAAAAAAAAAAAATGCCACTGCTGTGGGCACAGACTTATCAGTAAGGTTTCTAGAAGTTATCTCAAAAATGCAGCCTTCCAACAGGATGTGCCTACTTCATGATGCTGTCATGGTGAGCCTGGATGTTAGCCTGGGGGTGGAACTGGAGCACACTTTCTTTGGCAACCTGGGAAAACCAAGAGTAAATTACTGTGGAGACAAACACACGGTTACTTCACTTACTTATAGCATGGTGATCTATACGCAGACATGTGGTAACATTTCATTAAGGGCATACATAAATTTATACAATTAGTTCCCCCTACATGTGACCACCTCAGAGAAAATAGAAACCTCAGGCGTGGGGCTCTAACTCAGAGGTAGAGGATTTGCTTACCGTCAGCAGCACAAACGAAACAAAACTAACGTGCAATAATCAGTGTTATCCACTCAGTTAAGAGCCCAGGTTAGCCTGACTACACCTGTGGGGAAGGGGAGCGGTCAATGAGCAGCATGGGAGGGAAGGGACAGGCCAAAAACAAAAGGTCTTGACCCCACTGAGCCAGGAAACTATTCAAAGCAGCAGGGTCTTCTCCAGCTACAAAGGAGACGCCCCTGGGATGGAAAGGAGCCAAGCTACACACGAAGAGGGTACAAAAGACACCTCAAGTACAGCATTCAGGGACACGTCAGGGCTCTGGAGCCAAGGCTAAAGTGCGGGTGTGTGTATGGTTGTGCGTGCGTGTGCGGGTGTGTGGGTGTGCGTGCGTGTGCGGGTGTGTGGGTGTGCGTGCGTGTGCGGGTGTGTGGGTGTGCGTGCGTGTGTGCGTGCGTGTGTGTGCGTGTGTGTGGGTGTGTGTGTGTGTGTGTAGTGTGTGTGTGTGAGTGTGTGTGTGGTGTGTGTGTAGTGTGTGTGTGGTGTGTGTGTGGGTGTGTGTGGGTGTGTGTAGTGTGTGTGAGTGTGTGTGTAGTGTGTGTGTGTATGTGTGTAGTGTGTGTGTGAGTGTGTGTGTAGTGTGTGTGTGAGTGCGTGCGTGTGTGTTCGGGTGTGTGTGTGCATGCGTGTGCGTGCGTGTCTGTGTGTGTGAGTGTGTGTGTGGGTGTGTGCGTGCGTGCGTGCGCGTGTCTCTGTGTGTGTGTCTGTGTCTGTGTGTCTGTGTGTGTAGTGTGTAGTGTGTGTGTGTGCGTGAGTGTGTGTGTCTGTGTCTGTGTGTGTGTGTAGTGTGTGTGTAGTGCGTGTGTGTGAGTGTGTGTGGTGTGTGTGTGTGTAGTGCGTGTGTGTGGTGTGTGTGTGTGTGTGTAGTGTGTGTGTAGTGCGTGTGTGTGTGTGAGTGAGTGTGTGTGGTGTGTGTGTGTGTGTATAGTGTGTGTGTAGTGTGTGTGTGGTGTGTGTGTAGTGTGTGTGGTGTGTGTGTGAGTGTGTGTGTGTAGTGTGTGTGTGTGAGTGTGTGTGTGGGGTGTGTGTGTGTGTGGTGTGTGTGTGAGTGTGTGTGGGAGGGTGTGTGTGGTGTGGTGGGTGTGGGGTGTGGGTGGGGGGGGGGGTGGGTGTGGGGGTGTGTGTAGTGTGTGTGGGGGGGGGGGGGGGGGGGGGGGGGGGGGGGGGGGGGGGGGGGGGGGGGGGGGGGGGGGGGGGGGGGGGGGGGGGGGGGGGGGGGGGGGGGGGGGGGGGGGGGGGGGGGGGGGGGGGGGGGGGGGGGGGGGGGGGGGGGGGGGGGGGGGGGGGGGGGGGGGGGGGGGGGGGGGGGGGGGGGGGGGGGGGGGGGGGGGGGGGGGGGGGGGGGGGGGGGGTGGGGGTGGGGGGGTGTGTAGTGTGTGTGTGTGTAGTGTGTGTGGGTGTGTGTAGTGTGTGTGTAGTGTGTGTGTAGTGTGTGTGTGTGAGTGTGTGTGTGTGAGTGTGTGTGTGGTGTGGTGTGTGTGTGTGAGTGTGTGTGTGTGTAGTGTGTGTGGGGGTGTGGGTGTGGGTGTGTGTAGTGTGTGTGTAGTGTGTGTGTGTGAGTGTGTGTGTGTGAGTGTGTGTGTGGTGTGGTGTGTGTGGTGTGTGTGTGGGGGTGTGAGTGTGTGTGGTATGTGTGTGTTGTAGTGTGTGTGGGGGTGTGGGTGTGGGTGTGTGTAGTGTGTGTGTAGTGTGTGTGTGTGGGTGTGTGTGTGTGTGTGTGTAGTGTGTGTGTGTAGTGTGTGTAGTGTGTGTGTGTGTAGTGTGTGTGGGGGTGTGGGTGTGTGTGTAGTGTGTGTAGTGTGTGTGTGTGTGAGTGTGTGTGTAGTGTGTGTGTGTGTGGGTGTGTGTGTGTAGTGTGTGTGTAGTGTGTGTAGTGTGTGTGTGTAGTGTGTGTGTGAGTGTGTGTGTGAGTGTGTGTGGTATGTGTGTGTGAGTGTGTGTGTGTGTAGTGTGTGTGTGAGTGTGTGTGTGAGTGTGTGTGGTATGTGTGTGTGAGTGTGTGTGTGTGTAGTGTGTGTGTAGTGTGTGTAGTGTGTGTGTGGGGTGTGTGTGTGTGTGTGTGTGTGTAGTGTGTGTAGTTGTTGTGTGTGTAGTGTGTGTGGGGGTTTGGGTGTGGGGGTGTGTGTAGTGTGTGTAGTGTGTGTGTAGTGTGTGTAGTGTGTGTGTGGGGTGTGTGTGTGTGTGTGTGTGTGTGTAGTGTGTGTGTGTGTGGTGTGTGTAGTGTGTGTGTGGTGTGTGTGTGTGAGTGTGTGTGTAGTGTGTGTAGTGTGTGTGTGTGTAGTGTGTGTGGGGGTGTGTGTGTGTGTGGGGGGTGTGTGTGTGTGTGTGTGTGTGTATGTGGTGTGTGTGTGGTGTGTGTAGTGTGTGTGTGGTGTGTGTGTGTGAGTGTGTGTGTAGTGTGTGTAGTGTGTGTGTGTGTAGTGTGTGTGTGTGTGTGTCGAAGGCTCAGGGGTTAACACATGTGCAGCCCCATCACCTGAGCTTAACCCCAGGACCCAGCTGTGCCCCATACAAAATAAATGAGATGCCAATCATGGACAAGAGAGAGAGCTGGCTTTCTCCCTCTGCAGGGAGCCCTGCAGGGTCAAAGGGCTCTAAACACGACAGTTACCTGGGCCTTCGATCTTCCCACGTGCTTCTTTTGAAACAGGAACTGCCTGTTGAGGTTGCTGACATCGATGGTGTCCAGATCAATCTACAAGTGCAGAGACCCAGGTAAATCATCCTCACACGGCTTCATACCCCAGAGCGTAGCAGCGGGGACGGAGCTTTTCTGTACAGGTCATATACCCCAGAGCGCATGGGAAGAAGAGGATCCCTGCCAAAGGCAAGCTCAAGTGCGCACCAGGGAGGGCTAACTAACCCTCCTTAGGGAATCCTTCAGAAAGCATAAACACTTTGGTTGACTTGTTTCCTTGGCTATCTGTGAGTTGTATGTCAGCCTGGTCTCTATAATGAGGTCCAGACCAGTCAAGGTCACATATTGAGACCCTGCCTCAAAATATAAGTAAGACAAGATAAAGGCAAAACAGAAGGCATTAAAGTGGCTGTCCTGCCAGCTGTAAGGACCTGGGTTCAATCCTCCAGAACCCACAACAAACAAGCTGATCACAGTGGTAAGCTTTCAAAATCTCAGAGCCAGGGAGGTGGGGACAGGGTGATTCCTGGGACTCACAAGCCAGTCATAGTCTAGTAAATTTGGAGCGTTCCAGGGCAATGAGAGACCCTGTCTCAAAAATAGGTAGGCCCCAGGAACACACCCTAAGTAAATAAACATCCATCTGTCTGATTATTTATCTGAGTGTATTATAACTTACTGTGCCCTCAGGATTACTTGAGGAATATCAAAGAAAATTTCATACATATGGAGAAAAAAAACCCTCACATTTAAAATCTAACCTAGGGGCCAGGCAGTGGTGGCGCAGGCCTTTAACCCCAGCACTCAGGAGGCAGAGGCAGGCGGATCTCTGTGAATTTGAGGCCAGCCTGGTCTCCACAGAGTTCCAGGACAGACTCCAGAACTCCAAAGATACAGAGAAACCCTGTCTCGGGGGGAAAAAAAGGCAAGCTCTATATTGGATCAACTGCCTGGCCTGTTCAAAAGTTGTAGAGATGGCTCATTAGTCAAGAGCGCTGCCAGCTCTTGCATGGGACCCGGGGCTCAATTCTCAGCACCCACCCTGGTATCACCAGTTCCGGGGATCCAATGCCCCCTTCTGGCCTGTGAGGGCACCCGGCACAGACACACGTGCAGGCCAAAGGTTCAAACACATAAACTAAAGAAAAATCCTGAATAAACATAAAATTTAATCCTAAGAAAATAAGTACCAGCTAAGCGTCGTTTGCATTCCATTTCAATAAACTTACATGAGCAACAAACAAAACGTTCTCGTCCTGAAAGATGCCCACAGTTGGGACACTTACAAAACATACAAGCACTGAACACACCATCTGCACTTCAAAGTTCACTGCAAAAAGCAAAGCAAGCCGGGCGGTGGTGGCGCACGCCTTGAGTCCCAGCACTCGGGAGGCAGAGGCAGGGGGATCTCTGTGAGTTCCAGCCAAGGCTACAAAGCTACACAGAGAAACCCTGTCTCGAAAAAAGGAGGGGAAAACCTAAACCAAAGAGAAGCAAGCAAAGGAGGATTCACTCTCGT